GGGACGGCAGCCTGGGGCCGCGGCGGCGCGGGCCGACCTCCCTCCTCCCGCCCAGCCCGCCGGCGCCCGCTCCCCACGCGCGGGCCGCGCCGTTACCTGCCGAGCGCCGGGGGGCCTGCTGCTTCCTCCTCGGCATGCTGCTCGGGCCGCCGCAGCCGTCGCCTCAGCCGCCGCCGGAGTTCGCGGGGCGCGGGGACGCGGGGACGCGGGGCCCGGGCGCGGGCGCAACTCCGCGGCGCGCCCAACTTTGGCCTCGTCCCCGCGGGCTCCGGGCTCCGGGCGCGCCGCGGATGGCGGGCGCCGCTCGCATGGACCGCCGCGCCCGGGCCGCTCAGCTGGCGGCGGCGGCGGCCGCGCGGGCCGCTCCCGGGCCGCCGGGCTGCGGGCGGAGCGCGCGGGGCCTGGGCGCCGAGCCCGGAGTCATCCCCGGAGCGGGCCGCGGGCGCAGCGGCGGGCGCTCGGAAGGCCGACCCGCGGCCCGCGCTCCATGCCGCTGGCGCTGTGCTGGGCGGGCGCTGTCCGGGCGCCGCCGGGCGCTCCCGCGCCTTCCTGGGCGAGCCGCGAGTCTCCGCGCGCAACTTTCTCGGCCCCTCTCTGCTGGTGGTGGGGGTCGCGGCGGGCGCTGCTAGTGCGCGGGTCGCAGCTCTCTCATTGTGCGCCAGCGAGGCCGACCGGCTGTCCTTTCCTCCCCGCACTTAGTCTAGGAGGAAGAAAGCAAACAAGACAGGAGTGAAGCCCCCGTACATACATGCGCCGGGGGAGATGTCAGCGCCGCTCCACCTTCCAAACAGTCACAGATCAAACAGTGTCACCCGCCGGAGCGGCACTTGGTGCCCCGCGCTGCCCCCGGGGGGCCTGGCCGCCAGGATCGCCGCTTCTTCCGAGAAGAAATCTAATGCAAACACATTTGATCGTGGATTTTTGGCCGGTCTTGATCTTCCAACAGAAAAAAAAAATTCGAAAAACACACAAAAAACCACACACCCCCTCCAAAAAAATAAGCCAACAACAACCCGGAGAGTGTGCACCGTGGGGGCGAAGAACGGACATTCACTGGGTGGGCGAGATGAGCGTGTACTGTCCCCCCCAAACTCCTGGGAGAGAGGAGATGCGCTCTCCCTCTCTCCTCTTTTCAGTGAAATATAACACACATTCGGATCGCAGAGCTTTCAGACAGTCTCAACTGATAGACAGACACATCGAGCTGCTTTCCTGCCTCACTTTTTACTCCTCCTCCTCTCGCCAACGTCACCCTGACAATTACAAATAGGTCTCACACAAACCATACCTGTCAATCTTTTTAATTGCTTTGTTTTCTTTTATTTTTTTCGGAGCTAAACAATATGACACAGAAAAGAAATCTTAATACAGCATAACATAAAAGATTGCACGTTGCAGGAAGACATTTAGGGGGCTGTGTTGTAATGCACTGGCTGATCTCGGGCGGAACCCATGAGTCCTTAAGTCTAGTCAGGCAGACATCAGTTCCTGCAGATTCTTAAACCTGTTAGTTCCCCTCCCCCGCGTGTACATGCATACACACGCGCCCACGTGGATCTGAGCCACTCTTGGGTGAAGCACGTCCTACATTTGAGGGAAAAAAATACCTGTTTCACTTCTGCACTTAGTCTGGGGGTTAGGTTTGGTTAGTGAAGGACAGTGGCTTTATTATTTCTGCAATTCACAGATTAAGTGGAAAACAGGAGTTATTTTTAAATTAAAATGCACAGCTAAAATATAAACGTAAAGATGGACTTCCCTCATCACAAAATGCCTGGAAATATTTAATGTGGCCCCTATTTTTTAAAAAGTGAATTATTTGGTCAATGAACACAATTCGCTAAAAAAAATATATGGCACGATAGAAAGATCTTTCTAGATAAGTGAGAAAACGAAGTCTTCATAGATCATCACAAAGTCTCCAATTCCGCTAAACCCCTCCGCGGCCCCACCTAGAACTTTAAAATCCTTCTGCGCTCTGGGAATTCGGCCATCTAGTTCTGTATGTGTGTTCTCTCCCAGTGGGAAAACTGTAACAGTATTGTGGAGCTACTTAAAACATCGATGGAAAAACACGAAATCTAGGCCAAGATAAATAAAATGGCTTAGTTCCTGCAACTTGCACGGGACAGACTGAGAGAGCATAGGCGCGAGCTACGCGCTCAGAGCCCGGGAGGCCTAGGCCGGGGATGCACGGTGCACTGAGCGCCCTCGGCCAGCAGGAAGGTGCTGGTGCGCGTGCACCAGCGACCGGGGCCCAGGCCCGGGACCCGGCCGTGCCCTGCCGCCCCGGCCGCGCTCGGGGTTGATTCGTACCACCTTGCAAGGAAGTGAACGCTTCGCACGGGAAGGGGAGGCGCCTGCGCCGGCCGCCGGGCGCCCTGCCGCTCGAGGACGCTTAGGCTACGGCGGCGGCGATCGCCAGGGCGCTGGCCCTCTAGCTTGGCGCCCCCCGCCCCCGGTGGAGGAATCAAATCCTGTCGCAGAGCGTGGGGAGGGTGGGGATATTCGAGGCCTCTCCCGCGCCCGGAGGAAAGGGGAGGGCGGAGGAGATCCTAGGCCAGAGTGAGCCGAGCGGATTCAAACCAAAACAAAAAGATTAAAGGAGCAGCGGCGGCGGCGGCGGCGGGGCCGGGCAGAGATCCTGGGGTGGCGCGCCCGGGTTCCGCGGGGGCTGCGGCGTGCGGCGGGGCCGGAGGGCGGGGGCGGGAGCCAGGCGGTGAGGGGAGGGCGGGAGCCTAGGGGAGGGCGCGGGCCGGAGGAGGGGCGGGCCCGCCCGCGCGGAGCTGAGCCGAGCCAAGCGGCCGGGACTGGGCGCGACCCGGGCCAGCGGAGGCGCAGGAGCGGGCGGAGCCGATCGCGGGCTATGCTGAGGCTGACGGCAGCCGGGGCCCGAGCCATCGTGGACATGTCGTACGCCCGTCACTTCCTGGACTTCCAGGGCTCCGCCATCCCCCGAGCCATGCAGAAGCTGGTGGTGACCCGGCTGAGCCCTAACTTCCGCGAGGCCGTCACCCTGCGCCGGGACTGCCCAGTGCCGCTCCCCGGGGACGGAGACCTCCTCGTCCGGAACCGGTGAGCCCGGCGCGTGACCCTGTCCCGGTCCCCGGCCCGCGCAGCTGGGCTCCCGGCTGTCCCGGGTCGCCCGCTTGCCCACACTGCGGCGCGCGCTTGGGCGCACAGCCTGACTTTGCGAGATCCCGGGAAGTTGAACCCGCCGCCATCTGGCGAAGGCGAATGTAATGTGACTTGCTGGTGTGAATACCCGATGCCACCAAACGTCCTCTTATCTGGGGGTTATTTTAATTTGGGATTCCTCCCTCCCCCAGCCGTCCCTCCTCCCCCTCCCGCTCCCTAAATAAAAACGACGGGACCCAGAAAGGGAGGCTCCCCACCCGGCCCACCCGCGCGCACCCACGGTTCCTGCGTTGCCATAATTTTTAGTGGAGCAGCAGCAGCCTGGACACACACTGCGACGTTTAGGTAAAGGTGCTATGAAGGAAAGGGGCCCTTGTTCGGTTTGCTTTTTCCTGTCCCCTCCATCTCATATCGGCGGAGCCTGTCCTTGGGTGTGTTGGTGTGCACCTAGTCTGCGTGTTGTCGATACTGTGTTTTGTCCCCTGGGTGCATAGCGGGGGCGTGCACCAGCAAGCTGGGCCAAACGTTGGGCGGGGGCATGGCTGCATTTGCCTGAATGCAGCGCAGACATTCCGGTGGCTCAATAGTTGTTGCCTGACCTGACCGGTCTACCTGATGCTTCCCACCTTAAGGATCTTCCAAGCCACTAATCATTAGTAAGGGGTGAAGGAGAAGTGTGAGACCTCACTGTGTTCAGTCCAGGCGATACCACCGAGATCTGTTGGGTGCGTCCTCGCACTGCTGGGCTGTCAGGAGGTGTCCTAGGTACCCTTTCACCTGCTGGGCTTCATTCTAAGGTCCCAGCGTGGTGTGTTGGAAGCTGGGTAGAATTACGGAGGGGAGAAGTTCTGATTGGATTCAAGCTGTAAACTCTGGACCAGAAAATGTTTTTGTCCCCTGGAAGGTCTAAATGACGAAACTTACCCTCCCAACTTGCTGGGTGCAAGGATTCATTAGTTCAAACCAGTCCACTTTAAAGAGTGCTGTCAACTGTCCAAACAAGACTGCAGGACTGGAGAAGCTGACTGTGAAACCTTTGGAACCCTAGTGGAACCTTCGCGGTTGAGTGTGGGTGGGATTGAGTAGAGTCCGTGGGTGCAGAGTGCCTCAAAGGGTGGATGTCCTTCCCATGCTTGCTGTGGCCGCTCAAGGCACAGAGGAGTGCTTCATTGTGTGATGAAATGCTGAGTCTGTGGAGGGTAAATATTTGAGCGCGGCCAACCTAAAAAAGGGCTCTAGCTTGTGTTCACATAGGACATCCAGAGCACACCAGTGGTTTGTTATAAGGTGAGGTGAGAATAGACTGGAAACCTTTCCAAGTAAACTTCACGGGAGAGTTAAGAAAAAAAGTTCCACGCCAGGCTTTCATTTTCTTTTACTGTTGTGATTTATATAGTGTTGACTGTAAACACTAATAAACACACACAACTGCTTACATAAAATCCCTCGTTGAAACAGGTGTGAAATGGGGAGGGGGTGCCACAAGGGGACAGGCTAAGGGAGGGTGTGCAGTGGGAGAAGTACAGCAACATCGAGGTGGGACTCCAGTGCGAGCCTTGGAGGCTACTCTGTTTTACTGGGGTGGGGGCCTCTCTCACCCTGGAGTTTAGTTAACTCTTGGAGATCTCCCGCATTCCTCTCCCACCAAGCTTATTCGATCTAGCTGGCCTTCTTTCCCCTTCTCTAAATGTCTCGCCGCCACAGCGCTCCCTTATGCCCAAGGTCATCTTGGTTCCTCTGGAATTGGGTGTTCCTTCGGATCGTAGAATAGTAGCCTTCCATTTTGGAAAATTCAGCTGTTCGTGTTGTTCTATTTTGATTCCATGTCTGCCAAGAATCTCTTTGATACAAGTGCTTTATATGAACAACTTGACTTCTAACTTCTACCCTGAGTCCACGACCCGGGGGAGGGGGAAATGAAGCCAGTTTCTGAGTTGGAAGCAGGCAGAATCTTTGCCTCTCTCCTGTTCTGTAACAAAGTCTACCTCTCAAGTGAAGGCAGATCTTTTATATTTATGGACAGTGTCAAAGTTCTTCCCGGTTTCATTTTATTTTAAGGAGCAGAATTTAATAATTAACCGCAAGTTGGTTCGTTTGGATCCAGGGCCAGCAGCCTCCTAACTAGTGCTAATTGCATTACATTTTTATTCAGAGGCTCCTCATTTTTAGCATAACAAAAATCTCCCCTGAATGAGTGGGCTAAGACCAAATTTATTTCTTTGCAAGGGTGTTGGGAGGTTTTAATTGTGCTCAGTCTTCTGACTTTTTCTTCCAGTGAACTATTTCCACACCTCAATCCAGTTAGCAAAATACATTCTTTCATTCACAAGGGCAGTGCATGCAAGCTAGGCATGGATTTCGGACTGTGAAGTTTACAACCAAGGAAAAGTGTGTTGAGGGGGTGCACAGAACCCCTTGTGAATTGATGCTCCATCTTCAGCATCACCTTTACCGCCTCACGCACAACTTCAGTTCCCCCCCCCCACTGCTCAGCCCTCTGAAAAGGAAAAAAAAAGACCTATATTCCTGGTCAAGTGCATTTTTTGTGCGATTTTTGTCCTTTTTTTTTGTGAGAATGACAGATTTTCTCGTTTCCAAATATTTCTAACGATTTTCTGCTCAAGTGTAGGATAATGCAAAGCCTTTTTGGAAAGAGCAGTGAGTAGGGGGTGGGGGAAGGCGTTGTGATAGATGGTTTGTTGCTCACGGGAGGGTAAAGTATTTGTGTTCTCTAAGCCCAGATTCTCCATACCTCCCCTCCTTAACTTTTCCTTCTTTTTCTTTTCCTTCTTTTCTTTCTTCTGTTTTTGTTTGTTTTTCAAGGAAAGTCTGGTTTGGACGACTTTGTCTCCCAGTTTTCAAGGCTCTTCCTGTGGACTAAGTTTTCCTGTTTGGTGTTTGTTCACAGGAAAGCCCACCCCACCCCCACCCCACCCGCATCACTTCTACAGTAACCGTACTAGGCACTCACCGCTTTCTAATATAATAGCCAGTGGCTTGAGAAGGGGATATATTTGGGAACCGCCTGCTGTGGTCCCATTAAATTTTCCTGGGGTGCCTGGACTTCGGTTTTCACAGTGTATCCTCTCGGGTTGCCGGGGTCCTGCAGTCATTACTGGCAATCAAAGGGAGTGGTACAGGGAGGGTCTCCAGGTGCGCCAGCGCGTCTTTCCTGAGTTTTGTTTTTGTTTTTCTGTGATTCTGGCTCGCCTTACTTTTTTTTTCCTTCCTTGGCCCAGCCCCTCTTTCCCTTTGAGCCCGCTGCCCTTGACCTTGTATCTTGAGGAGAGGAAGGCTCATACAACTTCAAATAAAGTCCAGGTAAGGACTAAGGTGCTTCCGAGGCAGTGGCGGGTCTCCACCACCGCGGCAGGGACTCGGTGATTAGAATGAAGTACTAGGTAAAGATAGGGATCCCGGCACCATGGGCCAGGATACGCTGGAGAGAACACGGGACCAGAAGACAGACCGTGGACAATAGTTGGAACTGCTACTGGCCCGTTGAGGATTGGTTAGAAGAGAGGCAAGGTTGAGGTGCAACGCGCGGATTATGGTCATGAGCTGGCTAGTTTTGCTCTGAGTGGCTTTCCTGGGACTTGAGCAAGCCCAAGAGGTCCAGAAACCTGGGACGTGGGGTCCTTGATGTCTCTTCTAGTGGTGGCAATGGAAAGAAAGGTCTTGTTTCCAGCAGAAATCCGCCCTGAAGCGCCCCAGTGTGGAGCAGGACTTTCTGGGTTGGGCGCCTCAGGGCGGATGCCAGCGGGAAGAGGCTCGAGCCTGGGGTCAGCGCCACCTCTCTAGTGCTTGCTGAAGCTGATCGCCACAGTGATCGCTGTGGTGTTTCCAGCATAAGTCCCTGCTGGCCATTAGCAGCCGGTCCAGCTACAGCCGATCCAAACTTGGCCTCAGCTGCCCCGCTCCCTCCGCCAGTGTGCCCTGCTAGGTCTCCACCTCTTCCAGGGGGGTGGGGAGAGAAATTGCCCCTAGGCAAGAGGGATTTGCATCTCTTTCCTGAGGATCCTTCCCACCCCACCCACTGGGCCACAGCACTGCCAGCAGCTTCTCCCAGGGCCATAATCAGGACTCCCTGAGGGGAATCAGCCCTTGTGGACTTTGAGATGCCAAAGGAGGACAGCCTGGAGGAGAACGGGAAGAGTTTATCACGATTAGAGGGTATCCTGGCAGTTGATCCCTGCTCCCATGCCTTAAGATCGCTTTCACCCTTGGCAGCCTTCTCTCCTGGAGTTGGCTTTTCCAATGGAGGAGGGGCAGTGAGATGTCCTGCTGCCTAGCTCTAGTGGGCTGACTGGGAAGTCTAGCATCAAGATCTGGGGAGCTAGCCCTATTTAGAAGAAAGAGCAGGGCTGGAGAACTGTGTAAATTTAAAGAGAAAACGATAGAACGCAGACTTCCAACCCGTTTTCCAAAGGGGGAAAAAAAAGAAGAAAAAGAATTCTTCTGATATTGAAAAAAATGAACAAAACTGATTTTCCCCTCTGTTCACTATTGGGCTTTATCTGTGAGTACAGAAAGCAGAATTTACAGTTATTGGGGCCATGGTAAGCTGACTGCAGAGAGTACCTTGGTGGAAGAAACTGTTTCCAACTTTCTTATTTCCACAGTCTAGAAAGATCTTTCTTTAAAGGGAGAATATTGTGAGGAACTGTTTGGAAGTCCAGGGCATTGTGTAGAGAATAGTGAGAGTGTGCCCCTACACAGGACAGTTTGGGTTCATAAATTAAAAGAGAATTCTTTTCATTTTTCTCCTGCCATTTTTTTTTCGCTTTCTTACGGGAGAAAATGGCAATTTGGGGGTCCTCGTGTGTTCCAGTTCCTCGCTTGAGTTCTCAGAAGATGGGGGCCGCTGCCCCCATGGGCATGTTTTTGCTGTGAGGTATAGTGCGGCACCGAGAAAAGCTGGTAAAATGCTGGCCTCACGGTTAAACGTGAGCCTGGATACAAAAACGAAACCAGTCATCTGCTATTAATCAGGCTGCGTCTCTGCTTCTTGTTGAGGAAAATACAGAGAGGGCTTGCTTCCCTTTTCATCTGAAAAGGCTATAAAATGCCGATTGCTGCATAAAAATCATTCTCCCCAGTTTCTGTTCAATTAATCAAAATGTATATGTTCATGCTGGGCATGGTTACATCAGAGAGAAAATTTGCTTCGGCATTTCAAACCACCAGGGCAGTAACATGTCACAGGAATGACCTTGCATGTTCATCAATCTTTAATAATACCATTGTCATTATTATTATTACCTAAAGTGTTAAATTGTTGCCAGAATCAATATGAGTGGGCTTCTTTGCGTATATTTTATCCTACTGTTGTTTTTTAACATCTCTGTTAAGAGACCAATTAATTTCCAGCTCAGAGCTCTAGTGAACTTTGTGTATGGTGAGGACTTCCTGGATTTTTTTTCTTCCTTTCTTTCTTTTTTTCTTTCTTTCTTGTTTTGCCTTTTGAGTGAGGACAGAAGTAAGCTACACATGAAATACAGATACATCCCTTGCTGATTAAAATAATATGAAATTATTTTTCATAAAACTATTAAAGAATAAAATCAACCCAAACTCAAGTTAATACATGTCCAAATTCTTTTTTTTCCAGCTAAGCAGCAGGAATTATTATTCTCCTGAATTCTGTCAAGTCCCATAGTTTAGGAACCCTTTCACACTCCCTGGGGTTGGAAAGGTCCTTTCCCCCTAAGCAGACTATGAAGGTCTTTAACAAAGAAAGAATCTTGATACATTTGTTTGTTTTCTCCTAGATTCGTTGGTATTAACGCATCCGACATCAACTATTCTGCTGGCCGCTATGACCCCTCCGTGAAGCCCCCCTTTGACATAGGTTTTGAAGGGATTGGTGAGGTGGTAGCCTTAGGCCTCTCTGCTAGTGCTAAGTACTCAGTAGGCCAGGCTGTGGCTTATATGGCTCCTGGTTCTTTTGCTGAGTATACAGTGGTACCAGCCAGCATTGCCACTCCGGTGCCTTCAGTAAAACCCGAGTATCTCACTCTGCTGGTTAGTGGCACCACTGCATACATTAGCCTGAGAGAACTTGGAGAGCTGTCAGAAGGGAAGAAGGTTTTGGTTACAGCAGCCGCCGGGGGGACAGGCCAGTTTGCTGTACAACTTTCAAAGATAGCCAAGTGTCATGTCATTGGAACCTGCTCCTCGGATGAAAAGTTAGCTTTTCTGAAATCCATTGGGTGTGATCGCCCCATCAACTACAAAGCAGAGCCGGTGGCGACAGTTCTGAAGCGGGAATACCCTGAAGGTGTCGATGTAGTCTACGAGTCTGTTGGGGGAGCCATGTTTGACCTGGCAGTGGATGCCTTAGCCACCAAAGGGCGTTTGCTGGTGATTGGGTTTATCTCTGGCTACCAAAGCCCTACGGGGCTTTCACCAGTGAAGGCAGGAGCTCTACCTGTGAAGCTCCTGAGGAAGTCTGCCAGACTTCAGGGGTTCTTTCTGAACCACTATTTATCCAAGTACCAGGCCGCCATGGAACACTTGCTGGAGCTGCACAGTCGTGGGGAACTGGTCTGTGAGGTGGACCTGGGAGACCTAGCTCCAGAGGGAAGGTTCATCGGCCTGGACTCCATATTCCGGGCTGTTGACTATATGTACACGGGGAAAAATGTTGGAAAACTTGTGGTTGAAATACCTCACAGTGTCAGCAGTAAGCTATGACAACGGAACAATGACGGAAACCAAAGGAGAAAGAAAAAGAGTTCTCCATGCCTTAGAATGAACACAATAGTTCCTAAAACAAAAATGTAGTGTTAATGAATTCAACTTCCCTCTCCCTTTCCTTGGGGGTAAAAATAATACGCTTCAATAAAAGTTCTCTCTATAGCTAAGAGGTAAAACATTTACATTCGATTCTTTAGTCGTGGACGGTCTCAGTCCAGGTTTTATTGTTCCAGGGAAGTAAATTAATTCCTGATGCGAGACCTGATCGAGTCAGTATGTCCCCAGCTTGATGAGATTTTTAAGTCGGTCTTCAAACCGCTCACCAAGTCTTCTTTGCTGGAAGAGGCTGCTCTTGTGTTAATAAGTACTTCCCAGGTGACCAGGTAGTGCCGGGGTCAGGTATGCTCACAGTCCATATGCTTAGCAAGGAGCCCCAAGGATCTCAGTAGGCATTTGGGGGAGAACTGTCCACATTTGATCCTGTTTAGTTATTGGGAGGAGAATGATGGATCGACTCGTTAGTGGCTCGAATTCATAGCCTTTTAAGATTGTGAAGAAAATGTTCCTGTTCCAGAAAGAGTGGGTTTGGGAAAGCAAACTATGGTTTAGGGGACTTCGGGAGAACTGATGTGTGCAAAGGAAGGAAGCTTCTATGCCACCTCCCCAGGAAAGCTCTCGTCCTGTAATCGCAGGGACCACAGAAGGGGGCTCACTCTAGCATGTTCAAGGTTAAAAACAGCTACTTCCTGTCCCCAAAGAGCAGATGTCACATCATTCCAAACACAGGAGACTAATTCCAAAATCAAAACCGTTTGCTTCCCCTCAGAGGCGTGGTATGGAAGGCTTGATGTCGGGTGGTGGAAGCGGAATGACAGTCAGGTGTCCTGCGTTCCAACTTTGCTTCTCGGCATTAGAGAGAAAGGAGCCACCTGCTCTAGGGTTGTGTCCTGGTGCAGTCCTGTCTGCCAGCCTGTGAGCCGCTTCTCTTCAAACTGCACCAGAGCTGGTCTGCGTGCCCTTCACCTTCCGTGTTCAAAGGCTGCCTGCCACTTTTGTGGTGGGATCAAAACCCTACAGTGCCTTACCGTTTGAAGGTGAAGCCTGTCAGATGATTCTAAGTCCTGGGTTTCAGTACATCAAACAGGCTTAATAAACAGGACTGCAATTAAGAGAGCTCTGTGAACGTTGGGGGCAAGATTGAATTCTTTGCTGGCATCTGAGGAGCAAAGAGATCCTGTTTCTGAGTAGCTGTTAGTATCTATTTTACAAGATTTACTCATTTCCAGGTACCTAATGTAGCTGCTAGCATGCATGCACAACAATACAATTTATATGGTAAATGGAACCAAATAATGGCTTCACTGAATGTTATGGCCGCACTGAAGGGAAATGTCACGGTAAATAGCTGCCAAATTATGGTCATGCCGCAGTGTCACAACCGCACTGAAGACAAATCGCACCAGAGGCTATTGCCACTGTGACGCCTCTGAGTTATGAAGAGGGGTAGCAGCCTGACGCGAGGCTCTTTGTGTCCTCGTCATCACAGAAGGCTGCCGGTGCAGGGGACACGAGAGGCAGGCGCGTCCAATGTGGTGCGTAGTTATTAATCTGTCCTTTTCAGACCCAGCCACTGTAGCAGGGGAGACTCTGCTGGCTCTCCCGGACACAAACATAACAGGCAGGGAGGGAGGGCAGGCTCTGTGAATGTTAGTGTGCTCAGGAAATGACTGGTAATGGAAAAACGTCGTAATAAAATAATCTAATCAAAGACTATTATTAAATTTAACCTAGTATATGTCTGAAAGGCCCAGTTGCTTCCTATGCAGATAGATGTGTGAAATCTCGGTGATAATGCACTCTCCCTCTGAAAAGGCTTAAGGACTGAGGACATTACCAACTAAATTGCCTCTTCTAAACTGAAGTGAGTCCCGGTTTCCTTCATTTTAATGGGAGGGTAATAAAGATGAAAGACCAACATTTTATCTGATGGATCCCGTAAGCTATAGAAAAAAAATGTATTATGTTTTGAGGGAATATACTAAAATCAGCTATGTAAAAGTAAAATTCAAACACCCAGGTTTAAAATAAGACAACATTAAAAAACAAAAAACAGAAGAAACCTCATGTCTTTTTGTCCCCAAACAGAGAAACTATGATGCATGCTGTTTTCATATATTCTGCCTGTCCCAATGATCCCTAAAATATGTTTAAAAGTTTTTTAAAATTCTTTTGAAAAATTATGTTTAAATCTGTGGTTATACTTGAATATCAGTTTGGTCCCCTTGGGTTATTGTTGGGGTCCAGTCACTAACAGGAGGGGAGATAGCGTAAGGGTCCACACTCTACCATGTTCAGATCACAAAAAGTGCATTCATAATTCAGGGCCATTGTCAGCTGTGCTCTAGGGAAGGGATGAGGGCAGAGCAGTGATGTGGGATAAATGAATTCTCAGTTCCTGGAGTAAGGTTGTTGGCCCAGCAAGGAAGAAGGCATTGCCTCCTGAGAAAGACATCTGTAGGACGCCTTAATGTTTGGTTCAGGACTTCTGGAAAGTCAACTTCTATCCCTTCAAACCTTCAAACCTGTTTCGAATGCACAAAAGCACAATAGACAATATAATTTCTGGTTCTTTTCACAATGACTGCAGATGCTGATTAATTTTAGTGTGTGTGCATACACACACACACAATCCAAGAACTGGTTTGCAAAGAAAGACAGGTTCTATGTGTTGTTACTGTCTGACCGCACCAGAATGGAGTTTCTCAGGAAAGGAATAGAGCCTCTGCCAACGGCCGTTAGTGTTTCCTGCAGTATTCATCTAATGCAAGTGTGTGAGAAGTAGCTGCAGCCTATTAAAGTGGAAACCCTGAGCTGTGTGTGGAGGGATGCTGTGGCTAATGAGGCTATAATGTCCCAGTACCAAAAAACCCTTTTTGGGCCCCCACCACAAGATGCTGGAAACTTGACAGATGATATCATTTAAGACACTGCCTGCTTTGGGGACCTGCTTCTTGGCTTCCTGTTTTGGGCTTTTATTTGCGTAACATTTATAATAGCCACCTGACTTGTACCTGTAATGCCTTAACCCCTTGTGGAACTCACAGGCTGTGTAAATTTACAGTCAAGGTTCCCTTGAAAATGGAGCTTTCCTCAAGGCCCAGAATACTTTCCCTGATGACTTGGCCACATGCTCACATGGGGTAAATACCATATTTCAGATCCCATAAAGTCAGACCAGCAACACGCAGCTTTCAGAATAAATTTGATAAGACCTAGGACTGTGCACTTGAAATGCTAATTTCCTGAGTTCTACAAATTTTATGGACTGCTCAATGCAAAATGGTCTGATCCGATGAATTTATACTTACCTTTATTTCCCATAATCTTAAAAATATTTTGTTACTTATAATATTCATTTAAAAGTGTAGATGCGAACTGTTTTTCAGTTTGGGGTTTTGTTTTGTTGTTTTGTTTGGGGACTTTTTGACCTGTTTTGGGCTTTATTTGGACAGCTTCTGCAACTAATTCTCTCCCAATGACCTAGAATCTCGCATTTAAGGTCACAGCACAGAAGTCAGAGTGCAGGGCTGGAGGTGAACAGCGGCAGCACCGCTGTGAACTTGAACTTCTGTTTCTTGTAGCCTTTTAACGCCACACTGTATCAACTCAGAAGGAGGAATGTTCACTGTGAGACCCTTGCTACTCTTACCGTTACTGTGAGCAGTCCAGGAGAGTTTGCTGCCATCCCTGCCCCCTGAAAACCCATAATACCCAATGCAAAACAATGTCTTACCAGTATATGTCAGTTCAAGAAGTTCTTGTAGTAAAGACCTGATATGAAAAGAGAGAGAGAGAGAGAGAGAGAGAGAGAGAGAGAGAGAGAGTCAAGTAAGGTGCATATTTTGATTATGTAAACCTGAAGCTTCTGTTTAATTCTTCACTTTGATCCTACAGCCAGTGAGGCATGCCTGGCATAAGTACCAGGCAATGTTTGTTTGGATATGCTGGCTTTGCCCTTTGTAGACTTTCCCTTCTGTGCAGGTCCCTCATCCCAGGAGGCACAGATGAGCAGAGGAAACGTAGCATGGGTCCCGCAAGCAGTAGGGTAAGTGCCGTACAGAGGACGGTTTGGGGGAAAACCAATATGTTCTTCATGTGTGCTGAGAAGCCCTGAGCCAGAAGTCTGTAGATCTGAATAGCCCCCCAAAGGAAGTGCTTCCCTCAAAGTGTCTTTCTGCCAACACAAAATTAAAATAATAATTAGAACATACCCTGCTGCTGGGTGGCAGCATCCAGTACAAAAGAGAAATCTGTGCTAAGGGCTCAGAAGAGAGTCTCGTGACATTGCCTACTGAAGTGGTACCCACCCTCTAAACACACGAAGCAGTCAGGGTCAGAGTGATTGCTATCAGCAGTTCCTTTGCTCACTGGAAGGTAGAGAAATACGGAAGGGATACAGGATGTCCCACTCAAAAGCACCTGATGTAGGACCCTGTTTGCCAATCCCCAGCATTCCTTGCAGGCTCACAGGTGCCACTTCCAGCAGAAACACAGATCTAGAAAGTGTATCTTTCCCTGGCTTTTACGAATATGACCAAATGTTACTTGGTAACACTGGAGTTTGGAAGATAATCTAGCTCAACCCACCGCACAAATGGGCACTTTGTTTAACCAGCATCAAAGTCCAGTGGTCTCAAAAGACAGAACACTGGTGGATCCCCTCCCAGACTATTAGGAGAGTCCTGTACAGCCCCCTTTGCATTGCCCAAGGTCCTTCGGCGTATAACTGGCAGGTGTTTCGAAACCATAGCTGGACGTCGTGGAGAACCGTCACATGAATGGGACTGTGGCAAACCCAGGGAAAGTATCATGTTTAGACTTTGGTAGAGTTGGGGCTCTAGCAACTTGGTTTATCATCTAGACATTCTACTAGGGCTGAAGAAATAGCTCAGCAAGCAAAGGGCCTGCCTTGCAAACTGGAGACCCGAGTTTAATCTCCAGAACATTTGCAAGAAGCCGAGCATGGTGATGCATAACTGTAATCCTGGCATTTAGGAAACAGACATTGGAGGACCTTGGGGACTAGCTGGTCAGCTAGCCTAGCCATCAGTGAACCCCAAGTCCTACTGAGAGACCATATCTCAAAATACAAGGAGGAGCCCT